ATGCTGGTTGCTCCCATTACAGTCAATGGGAGATCTGTGTGTGCAGACACAAGAGAAGAATTTGAATGGCATTGGGACTTCCAGATATTTTTTCAACCTGCAGAGCAATCATTTTGCACCACAACTTGTGCCAACAGTCAACATACTGCAAAATAGATTAGACTGAATTAGACAGAACAAATAATTATGGTTTATAAAAATATCAAAAGTACATTGTCTATTACTATGTTAAAGATTAAGGAGAGTAACTTACTAGCATGGTTGGGCTGAAAAGATTCTTTATTCACTTAGGAAGAAATACTTTACATAGTTCACACAAGGCTCCGGATGCATCAAAAACATCATACTGTTACTGTGAGGTTGGGGTAAGGTAGGCAGTTGAAAAGCAAATCAGGGGGTCTCCACACCCTCTGTTTTGCTCCAGCAGCATGCTATTAAGTATCTTTTTTGCTGGAATTCAGGTGGGATGTGTGTGTTTGGAATAGAACCCATAGATGAGTTCAGATCAGAGATATGCAGGCTGCAAATCATATAATGCAGAGCAAAGAACCACATCACCTGCTGATCCCTCATGCCACACAGCAATCAGTGCAACAGACTGCCTCAGTGTCCCTATATTCCTTCCTCCCCAGTCCCCATGTACTTTTCGCAGGCAAAATCAAAGGTTGGTAAATGCCCATCAATGTAAGTAAGGATTTCACAACTTTATCACCCAATCTAATTATCTGTGTTCCCCCCACTCCCAAGACAACCGGCTTATCTGCATGCATGGCAGAGCATGCCTTGATCTTTAGAGATGTCAGTGTCAGAATAACAGTGCTTGAGAGGGTTCATTTAGGGAAAATGAAATGGCTGATCGGTTTACTTTGTATCATTATTTATTGTTCCAGTTGTGGTACCACTAGGATTGCTGTAATAATGGTACTCACTCTACTGAATGGCACTGTGATTGCAGCCTCTACTCAATTACATTAATGTAATTTAGATCTTGTCTACACTTAATGCTACAGTGGCACACTGCATTGCTCCAGCTGCGCCACCATAGCGCTTCAGTGTAGACACTACCTACGCCAATGGGAGGGGTTTTCCCATGGGCTTAGGTCATCCATCTCCCTGAGAGGCATTAGTTAGGTTAACAGAAGAATTTTTCTGTCAACCTAGTGCAGTTTACACGGGAACTTAGTTTAGCTTAGCTACGCCAATCAGGGGTATGGTAGTTATGCCGACTTAATTTTCTAGTGTAGACCAGGCCTTATTGACAGTATCAAGGGCAGGCAAGCAGATCACAAATTTAAATCCTGACCAATCTCTAACATAACAGCAGCGTATATCTCTCTTGCATATTATGTCTGTCTAGCCACTAATATAACTCCGTCACCATAGTGCCGGAATGTCTCCCAACCATTTAAAAATAGAAATAACAATAGCAATTTCTCTCTTTCCTCCTTATCTGTGGAAGAAATAGCTTGAGTAGTTTATACGGCATGTTGTATGTGTTGTGTGTGTGTGAAGCACTTATGAAGGGAAAGAAGCCAATGAAAAGGTTTGAATGCAACGATTGAAGCACTTAGGAAGGGAAAGAAGCCAAATGGAAAGGTTTGAATGCAACGATTGAAGCACTTATGAAGGGAAAGAAGCCAAATGAAAAGGTTTGAATGTAATGATTCCAGTGGCTATTATGTCTTCTGGTAGAAAGGTTTCATAGGCCAAGTCTACACTACAGCCCCCACAGTAGCACAGTTGTGCTTCCATAGCCTATAGTGTGGATGCTTCCTCCATCAACGGAAGGATTTTTTCCATTGCTGTAGGTAATCCTCCTCTTCGAGAGGCAGTAGCTAGTTCAACAGAAGGAGTCTTCTGGCAACCTAGCCACGTCTACATGAGGGATTACATCAACCTAACTACAATGCTCAAGGCGCAAAATTTTTCACAGCCCAGAGCAACGTAGTTAAATCAACCTAAGTTTTAGGTGTAGACCAGGCCACAGCCTCAGACCTTGTCTACATGAGCACATTGCACCAGTTTAACTAAAGGAGCAATTTTAAATTGACTTAGGTCATGTCTATTCACACAGCATTGCAGCGCCACAGAGGCACAGCTGTGCTGCCGTAGCGCGTCTGGTGAAGATTGTCTATGCCAACAGGACACAGAAGAGAGCTGTCCTGTCAGCATAAAAACCCACAAGCAGCATAAGACAGGACAAGCTCTCCCACCGACATAGTGCTGTGCACACAAACACTTATGCTGGTATAATTTATGTCAGTTGGGGGATGGCGTATTCACACCCCCAAGTGATATCAGTTTGCCACATAGGCTGTAGCGTAGACACAGACTTAGTTAAACCAGTGCAGAAACTGTGGGGACTCTCATATTTCAGTTTAAACCAGTCTTATTTCAGTCAGTTTAAGCTGATTAGGAGACTGTTAAAGATAAACTGAAAACTACCACTTTTAAACCTAAACAAGAGAGCCCATCTGAGTTTAAAAATCAGTTTAAAATCAGACCTATACAGCTTTCTCTTGTAGGCAGGCCTTATTCCATATACATATATATGTGGGTGTGCTTATGAGTGGATGTATATATGTATGTATGCAAAGAATACATATAGCAGTAAGGTAGCAATACTGACTTAATGTTCTGCTATCAGGATTTCTAATATAAACCTCTATTTTTAGGAGTTTATAACTCAACCCAGTGATAAAAATTTCCTCCAGGCTGAAACTTGGCAGACATGACCTAAGCCTGAGAAAGAATTTTTCACAAGATTCATTAAAAAAAAAATAAACAGGTCAGTCATTTTGGACCAGTAAGAAAGTATACAACAGACATTTTCACTGGCTTCGGGTTTTTCTTTTGGCATTCTCCTACAACTCAAAAGAGCTTCACTTAAATACTAGCAATAACTGCCAAACAATTATCACATAATGTGGAATAACATTATCTATATTTAACAATATTTTAAATAACCAAACTGTGGTTATTTTTAAAATATACACCTTTTGCACACACATTTTAAGATGCTTACTGAGCATCCCAGAGAGGTGTATGCATAGTTCTGGGGTCTGGTATTAATGGAAGTCTGCTGGTCAGGAAAGATTGCAAATGAAATTGTGCTGAAAGAAACTGTGCTTTAGGGAGCTGACATGGTGTAGAGGATAGGGCATGGGACTGAGGTTCTGAAGATATGGATGCTAATCCCAGCCTTGCCACTCACCTCCTGTGTGATCTTGGGCAAATTGCTTCACATCTCTGTGCTTCAGTTTCCCCTCCTCACTCATTGTCCCTCTTGTCTACTTAGACTGTAAACTCTTAGGGGCAAGAACTATCTCACACGTGTATATACAACGCCTCACATTCTAATATACTGGGGCCCTGATGTCAGTTGGGGCCTTTTTATGCTACTGTACTACGAAATAATGCTCATGCTCTGGAAGACCCATTTCCTAACATAAATGCATGCAGGTCTGTCTAAGTCAGTGTGAACTGATGAGCTGACAGAGATTCAGCAGTCCTGGTAGCACAAGAACATGTTGACATTGAGGGAAGGGGGCAGGTGTGGCTCAGGATGTCCAGAAAAGCTTTTTTTAAAAAAAAAAATATTGTGAAGTGGAAATTAGGAGGGAGACATGAAGAGGAGTGAGTACAAATAGAGGTGTCCCAAGCCCAGAAGAAAAGGGGCAAAGAACAAACAGAGGAATGGGACAGGGGATAAACAGCAAGGAGGATGGGAACAGTATGAGAGGGAAAGAGAAGAGAAATAAATGGAGGGAGTCTATAATAGGTGAGAAGGGTTTGATCATCTTTTCCCCCTCCTCTGCTACCCCCCAGTCTGACCCCGAAATTACTTAATCATAAACTGTGTGCTTGTGAGTAGTCTCACTGACTTCAGTGGGACTGCTCATGCGAGTATACACTAATGCACACGCTTAAATGGCTGCGGATTCAGGGCCAAACTGCCTAGTGATCATGTAACGAAAGGTCTCCTGTTAACAAAACAGAAGGACAACTGCAATTCTGAATTTCCTGACTTCATCATTAATGCCGTTTGATGTTCTTTTTTAATGAATATATAGTATACAATGTGTAGGGGTGTTTGTATGTTTATAGTATATGTAAGGATGTTTGTATGCATATATATAAGAAGTGAAATCTTGGCCCTATTAAATACAGTGGCCCAACACCCATTGATATCTAAGTGTGACTAGGATTTCATCCATGGGTGCATGTGCATACAGGAAAAAAAAAGAAAGATGCACAAACCAAAGTTATTGCCCACCATTTAAGAAACAAATCAGCCTCCATAACTTGCGGAAAATCAGCCATAATAGAAATGCAACATCTTATAAAAAGCCTTTTCTCATGTAAAAAAGAAAAGTTGTAAATGTATTGTGAAAGCTAATTATTTGGTATAAACAGCTGAGGTGTTGGTCATAATGGCAGCTCTGTTAGTTACAACGTTTTTTGGCATTTATAAACAGCATAAAAAACAAAGTACGGTCCGGGGAAATGAAAATATACAGTAACGGGTTGGGGGGGGGAAGGGGGACGACAAAGTAAAAGAAAACAGATGTCTTGGCTGAGACTGATGGTTTCATGGCAATCTTGCTCAAGAAGGGTTAAGGCTCACCAAACAACGTCCAAAAGAGATTGTCTTATTATGCTATATACAGTGTTATATTTATTTGACTAGTTAACAAAGGTAAAGAAACTGAAAAGTGAAAGAGTGCAGGAATCACAGTGCAAATGTAGTGGTCTTGCTGGCTATTTTGTTTCTAGGTCTTTGCATGTATGAAGTCATACAGAAATGATATTTAAAATGAAGAATGTTAAAAGAAAATCAAATCAGTAGAGTCAGAAATAAAATCAACGTGGACTCGAAAGTCTTAGTGAAGGGTAATGATGATTGAGTATTTTAATTATGCTACAATTGTACTATCTTTTGAGCACCTTTACGTGTAAGTATTGGCATGAGTGGGGAACAAAGGTGTTGTTTACTGTACCTGTGGGTAGCTGTCAGTCCGCGGTAGAACAGATATATCATAGGTAGCAGCAAAATGGCTTTTAGCTTGCTGGATCTGGCCATAGCGTTCTCTTTTTCTCCATTTGGCTCTTCGATTTTGGAACCAAACCTACACCATGAAAGTAAATAACAATCACAAGAAGCTATTGAAAAGCCTTTCCTGAAACTGGAAGGCAACTTCCAAAATTGCCATGTTTCTCTGAAAGGAGACTTCTCTCATTGAAAAGAGGAAGCTCACTGCCCCCTCTCACCCCAGACCCTTTTGATATAAGGTCTATTGAAGTGAATTCTGGCTCTTTGAGGTGTGTTTACAAGAAATCTATTTTTCCCCTACTGACTGAAGGAAAAGGACAGAGAATGATCAGCACATAAGGTAACATGATGGTCTATATCCCAATTCTTTTGGGCAGCCCACTCAGGTAGCAGGAAGTCACACCTAAAAAGTCCTTTCTCTTATTATTAATTTCATACAGTCAATAGATTGTTATGATTGGCTAAACTCTTTATGTTAAGAGGTGGTATATAAACTTTGCTGGAGCAATAAGAAAATGGTGGGGGAAGCTGTCTAACAGCATCTGTGAGCTCTACTGTATAATGGAGAGGATCTTGAAGGAAGGGACACAACTAGTTAAGGCTGGGAAACAATACACAGTTATGGGACAAAGGTCTAAGAGACCTTTATTGTCTAAGAGACTAACATGAGTCCACCATGTTGTAACTTGTTACTGGCATCTAAAGATGGGGCTCCACCTTGTGATGTATAGTTAAAGCTTCACTCTATTATGGAAGTTTAGTTTGAAATGCCTAGAAGAATTTATATGCCTCCTTTGTAGCCTGCTACAAGTTGAACCAAAACTACGATACTGAGGGTTCTGTTGTGCAATCCAGACTCATGATGGTGAACACTTGCTCATGAAAGTCATCCCACAGAATCAAAGGGACTGTTCATGTGAAAGTGTTCATCAACAGAAGTAAGGGTTGCCCAGTCAAGCCCTTATTGTTCTGCTATGGGTAAATTCATTTCGATACTTGTTAATAAAGTTACCATGTTAGTAAAACTAATATTACTCATTGTATTGAGGTTCCCCAGTCACAGACAATGACCTCATTGTGCTACGCACTGTACAAACAGAGAACAAAAAGATGGTACCTGCCCATATACTGAGGGATGCTTCATTTTACTGGATTATTTTAAATATTTAAAATAAAGTTATATGGTTTTAGACTCTAGAATAGGGCATGTAGCTCTCTTTAGGCTGTGCAGAAAGTCTCATGATGAGGAAATAATGTAAAGACTCATCTGTCATTAAAATGTAACATCAAAATGAGAGTTACTTGAAAAAGTTTCTAGTTGGTTTTAGTGCTTTTAACTCTTAGGGATTTTTGCCATGGTTCTCCAGGACTCTAACACTCCCTTGATATTGTCCGAGCAGCAGGGGCATATTATCGGTCAGTTTAATTTCTAACTACATACTGCAAATTTAATATGGCAGTTTTGAAAAATGTACCCAGAAATCAAAACAAGGCACAGAATATCTGTTGAGCATATTCTCTATGAACCTTGTTGGTAAATTTGTATTATCTATCATGCCTGGGGCTCAGCAAAATATATATATATAGTATTTTTTTTCCTGCTGTCTCCACAGGAGGCACCAGGAACATGCAAAGGGAATTTAGTAATGAGGCTCTTTCATTGAAAAAAGACCTTGACAATCTCCTTAAAATGGGTGCCAATTACTGCACTGACATGCAGCAGGAAAGAGAACAACTTAGATAAATTAGGTTCAGGTTGGCTCTCTCTGCATGTACGCAGGACACAAATTAAACTGGATCTTGATGAAATGGCGGTGAAGGGAAATGTGGGTAGCGTATCCAGCTGATCATTCCACTAAAGTAAATAAAACAATTTGTTTGAATTTATAGTAACTAAATAGAAAAAAAAGCACACTTTTTTTTCTTTGACAATCCCCCAAAATGTTTCTGTTTACATCACTTTACTAGAAACTGACTCTTGGCAAAGATAAAGTAACCATTTGCCTACACAAAGTAATGCAAAACTGCTGCTTGTTATCCTTACATTGCCAGATGCTTGCCCCTAATGATGCAAGGCCTTTTAAATTGCTTAATCTCATGATGGAATACTGTTGCTACTCAGGATCAACATGATCACATTTTCTTTTCATATTCCTTTCTTATTTAGCTTCTCAGAAATGCAGATATTGGTCATTTTCTAAATGAGGGGAAATTATTTGTAAACAAAATAGAAAACAAATATTGTCAGAAAGCCTATTATTCAGATATACTGTGCTTTGTGCTTTTAATTCTTCAGTTGTCCTACTTTTAATTCAAGATGCTTATGTAACTGTGAAAACAATATGTGAAAACAATATGTGAAAAAAACCTGTGAAAAAAACAATTTCCCAACCTGAAACTATCAATTCGGACCCTATTATTCCATCCGAATTCACACTAAGAAGAACTTTATTCTGTGAAGAGGCTCAGTGGCCCCACAATTATGTAACTGAAATAATATAAAGCCACAGTGGTCTTAATGGCATATATGTGTTTGTTTGAAATCTAAGCAGAGATCTGTTGCAGAGATCTGTGACCAGAAGTCACACGCAAAAAGCTCTCTAAATTTAAAAAGAAGACTGATTCTCCAGGGTTTATTAAAGAGTTAAAAGTCACTGGGCTAAATTCTCTTCACTTCAGTGACATTGCGTGGGTGCAAATGGAGCGAATATCTGGACCCCGTTTTCAGATGACGACAATGCTTATGCCACTCAGTTGAATACAGACAGGCAAAGGCCATTTATTTTATAAAAGTTAAGTAATTTAAATAGTTTATAAAAGTGATCTTTGTTTAATTTTCAGTCATGTGCATGTGAATTAGCTTTTATTTCTTTATAAATGACAGGTTGTGAAGTTGTTAACACGTCAAGTGGTTAAACTCAAAAAAGTTACTCCTGTTCTGGGAGATTCAACAGGCCTGATATTCCCTAAATTGTAAAAAAAAAACAACAACCAGGGAATATCAATGAAACCAGTAAGATCTCTAAAAACAGAATGAACTTTTAAAATGCAACCACTGTATATATTTGGCTGTTAAACCCATCCTTTGAAAGTAAAATTCAAAAGATCTCAGATGTTTTGTCAGCTTTTCTGCATATTTAACACCTTTTTTCATCATTGTACATGTACACATACAGATATTATACAGATGTATTAAATCAGTTATGTGTGTGACTAAGATATATACATGTAATGCTAGCTAATTACCTGTTCAACAGTAAATGTACCCAAGAAATTAAAATAATCTTGAAAATAGATCATGCAATAAGTGAAAGAAACTAGGTCTCAATCCTGAAAGGTATTGAGCAGCCTCAACTCCCAGTGATATTAATGGACCAAGACCTTACTGTCTATATATATTGTTTCAGTGTTTACTCTTTGAAAAAAAAAATATAAGGAATTTGATTACTTTAAATCTGTAATCTGTGTTCAATAATAGAGTTAGAGTCCACTGCAGTCCAATTTGGTATGATGATACTGCCAAATTATTATACCTTTTGTATACACTGTTGGGAACTTTTACATACTAATACCAGATTCATGTGCTACCTGAAATTTTGACAGAGAAGCAAGGTTATCAGAGATCAAAACTCCATATTTCTTTCTATTTTTCCTCCTATATGCAAGTTTCCCAGACAGTGAAACTTAAATATTAACAAGTTATTTTCCCTATGTACTGACCTGGCTCCTCTTTATAGAAAAACATGACAAAACATATTCTGTTTGATACACAAAATTACGGGCTTTTGTACAAGGCCTAATGTCTAAATTAGGTACCTACCTGGACTCTGGCCTCAGTGAGCTCTGTTCTCAGAGCTAGCTGTTCTCTTACATATACATCAGGATAATGTGTTTTCTGGAACACTTTCTCCAGTTCCTCCAGCTGTAAACTGGTAAAGGTAGTTCTGTGTCTCCTCTTCTTACTGCTGGAGACATTGCTGTCACACTTATCTCCCAGTTCATCCAGTTCTCCCTTCTCCTGCATCCCTTTCACTGGAGACATCCTAAGACTGTTGCAATTGTCCATGGGCCTATTCAGCTCTGTGTGAAGAGGCTGTCCTTCTACTTTAGTAATCCCATAGTTCACTGTACACAGGGGGGAAATAAGCAGTTAAAAGGTCTTTTAGATCTGAGGATTTTTAGAAAACTTTCATACGGAAGTTGATTATATGCAATGATGTGTTGGAATGTGATACAATTGGCAAGAAATCCTGTAATTTTTAAAAACAAATGTGATGCTATTATTGATACCTATAGAATTTTCGCAAAGATATGTTATGTAAAAATATTCTTTGAACTCTTTTGGTGTGAAGATAAAGAATTCTGCATAAGTAAATTACCTATTTCTTATATGTTGCAAATAAAATACATAATAGGCAGTATATGAAATCCGATTAAAATAGAGTTGCATAGCCACAGAATTCTAGTGTGAACTAGATTTTTACTTAAAATAAATGGCACAAAAGCTGCTGAAAAATGTGATTTTAAACTAAGATGGCAGTTAAACTAACCCCAACATATTTCTATTAAAAAAATCAAAATAATTATATAGAATAAATTAAATATTTGTAAATTAACTAATCAAGAACCACCCAATTGAGTAAAAATAAAATATGACATTGTGCACAAACCCAACAGATTTTTAAATACTCTTGGATTTGTGAAGTGGAATTGTTTCCAATTAAGGTTGTTATGATTACAAAATATAGAGGGGTTCTGCAAAATGTTAATAAATTAAAAGAAATTATTTCATATATTTTGTATTAGTATGTCAGGAACTATTTATCTTTAGGTAAACACTAAATGACAGCAATAAATATTAAAATAATTTTCTTTAGTTTCTACATAAGAAGTAAAAAACATTTGATATTTTTGCTAAACATGTCACATTGCATGGATAACTCATGCAACATGTTATGAGAGTTGAAAGATCCTTTTTTTGCTCTCACAGACAGGAGGGAAAATTGAAACATCTACTGCAGTAAAACTTTATAAAGGATGGCATCAGGCATATGATCTGGAGCTTGTTTTGAGGTTCTCTGCCATGCTCCATAATTTCATTCAGAACCATTGATGCCTCTCTGTTCATTCAGGGTGATTTTAACCAAACATAATTTTTTTAGATATCCGACTCCAATACACAGATTAATAATGCCATAAAACACTAAACATAAATTAAGCAAGCTAATTAAAAACAAGCACACTCAGTAAATCAATATGCTGTAGCTTTCCTAAGCCGCACTTGTTCTTGATACTTTTAAGAGCAAAAGATTGCCATTGGTCCCTTTAAGATTTCTCACATAAAAAGAATTGTCTCAAAAATCTTTCAATACCTATACGAAGTACAGCAAACTTGATATATTATTAATCCTAGTATTGTACTTAGCTGATTTGTAGCCATACCTAGGAACTTTCTACTAGACCAAGCTTTTTTTCTTTTAGTATTATTTTTATAAACGCTGAACTACATAGAGAGAAAATATTGAATTAAAATGTCAAAATTGTAAACTGTTCATTAAAAAATAAAAATAAAGTGTACCATGTTTTCTTTTGCCTAGATTACAGAAATTAATTTATTTAGTCAGAATGATCAAAAAATGTGTTATAATTTATGATCTGCAATATAAACATTACAGTTATAAGTGAGTTGCCCTAAAGTAGTATTAGCCCAAATAATTATTTGAAAGAAATGTGAAAAATGTTATTCAGTTTCAGCTTTTGAAATAAAGTACAAATGGTATATATTTTAAATGACCAGTCTGAAATAAAACATTGAAAATGTTCACAATAAAAATATTACATAGAACATAATAATTAACTGCAACCCAAATACATTTTATGTAATGTTTGGGAAGTGAAATAATTATTTCCACAGCCTGAATAAAATATTATAAAAGTACACATACTTTAATCATTTTGGTACTTAACATTTGCAGTAAGGTGTCTGGCAGATTTGAAACCTCGTTAAAATAAATGAGTTTGTTATAAATATCTCACATGTATTGTTTTGTTGTTTTAAAAGAACCCGCGCTTGCAGGTTATGTACTATGTACAAACGAGACACAAAAATCCTCTTGGAATTGCAAAAGTGCTTTAACTATCTTGAAATGAAATGATTGGCTTTGTATTCGGTCGGTTACAAGATAGAAAAGATAGATGGTTTGTTTTGATAACACTTTGACTTTGCAGGGCTTTTGTACTCGGAGCTGAATACTTTTCAAACAGTACCACTAAGAAACGTCCCTGAGGTAGCTTGAAATCTGTAGTGGGTCTTTTTTTGGATATTAAAAGTCAGTGTAACAGACTGTATAGATCTGAGTCACTTGAGCATTTGTTGCTAGGTTAAGAATGCTTCTGGACTCTGCACCAGATGTTATTGCAAGTTTAGCTATGTCGTCTCTTTTGTACATTAGATTGTCTAATCTAAAAGGCAGAATGACCAGACATGCTTTAAGCTAAAAGATGGACTGACCGTACAAACCTACGCAGTGCCTGCCTATATAGCACGCAGCTATATATGATCATTACATTCTATCTTGAATTATATATAAAAGAGAATTAATCTGTGTGCACTGTACACATTACATATCAATCAACATACAGATATTTTCTATGATAAAATCTGCGAATTTAGCTGCATCCTGTAACGAAGAGAACTGTTTAAAACTGTTCAACTTCTAGGTTTGGCTGGACTGGGTTTTGGCTAGAAATCCGTCAGGGGGTTCTATGCAACTGTCTGAATGGGGGAAGGAAGGGGAAAGTCGGCGCTGGTTACTGCAATTCGGATTGGGATTCTAGTTGAATGTTTTGAATTTAGGCTGTGTCTTCCGGAAACATTTAAACTATGGGGCGGTAGAACCCCAAGAGAAAGCTGAGCATGTGTGCTGCCGGAAAGGGAGCCTGAAGCCAAACGAAGGGGGCTCTCTTTACTTAAAAGATCACTTTAAAAGCGGGCGACCGACCCTCCACCGGAACGTGCTCCGGATCCACCGCACTTTAGTGGCTAAGTGCACCAGTTAAAGCTTCCTCTATTGTCCTCGGATACAAGGAGCGAACCTGGGAGGGGGGACGCGCCGATCCCCCTGCTCTGCGGGCTAAGAATAGTGCCAAATAATCCTACGGGGAGACTCACCATTATTGTCCTGGCAGGGCGAGGTCCTCTCGAGCCTCACATGATGCTCAGCCCTTTGCAGAGGGTTGAAGGCCTGCACGCATTTGCTGGCTGAAGTTTTGCTGTAAAAGGACTCATTGTCCAAAGTTTCCATAACGTGCTCCAAAGTGCCTCCTGCTCCCATGTAAAAGTCACTGTTCTTACTCGGCTGGCTCTTCAGGGCAAACTTCTCGTTCAGAAAATCCATAATCATCTAAAGCTGCTTGGAAGCCTCTTCCCTAGACAGAGGCTGGCCTGTGAGCTGGGGTGGGGGGAGGGAGGGGAGGGAGGGAGACCTCCGGAGCTCAGGGAGCTGCTTTGCCTCCGAGCCTTTGATTTGTCTTGTCTTGAAAGGGGGGACCCGAAATTGCTCTTATATCTTGAAGCTCAGCAGGGCTCCTTGCGCAACCTCCCATTGCTAATGAATATGAAAATAGGCAACCAGTGTAACTCCACCCCAGATCCCTCTCGACCTAATCCCAACACTGGAGGGAGATCCAGGCCCACTTTAGCCAGACAGATCCCGTTCCGGCAGACAGACACACAGACGCGCTGGAAGGTGGGGGCAAACAGATGGAAAGACACTTTTCCCCCCACCTCGATGGATTCACATTTCTCCCTCTATTCTGGAAAGTGCGTTAATTCCCCCTTCCTCTTCTCCTCCCCGAAAAGTTTAGAGCAATACATTTTCGGAGGTAAATTCCATTCTAACGGGCTTGTATTTGATCGATTGGAACGACACAGAGATAGGGCTATCTATGATCTGGAGCTGTGAAATTAACAGCTGGGGTTTCTTCCGCTTCTTATTCACGTGGATGGGGAGTTTGGTCCCAAAGTAAGAAAACAAAACGCGCTGGGGCTTGTTTGGGTTGTGCGAATGGGAGAATCGAAGGAATGAAAGAAACTTACATCCGAAATTAGCCCAAGAGAAAACTAGCTCCTCCATCTCTTAGATGTTACTTACCGTGCAGACTCGAAATCTGGTTTTGTGTATGCATATAAAGAGACTAAATGTTTCCCTTATCTTAAGCATTCTAGACCTTAAAACATTTAACGACTTTAAGGGGAAGGGATCACATTTTGAAAACGTCTAGTCACCCCTTTAGTGCTTCTTGGGGAAACGATCGCCGAGTCACGGCAACAAAAATAGTATTGAGAGAAAGGTTTCAGAGTAGCAGCCGCGTTAGTCTGTATTAGCAAAAAGAAAAGGAGGACTTGTGGCACCTTAGAGACTAACCAATTTATTTGAGCATAAGCATCCGATGAAGTGAGCTGTAGCTCACGGGGAAAGCTTATGCTCAAATAAATTGGTTAGTCTCTAAGGTGCCACAAGTCCTCCTTTTCTTATTGAGAGAAAAAAAAATACACCTATGTTAAAAAAGAGGTATACGCTAGACAAAGCACATAAATCGTGAAGCTTTTAACTTTATTGTCCCCCCCCTCCGCCCCCGTTGCATAACGTGGAGGATTCAGAACAGAAAAAGAGACAGATTTACATTTTGAAGACAAAAATATTTAGAAATGACCCTAATCACGAGAGAGCGGGAAATTGCCTTTTTCTGCTCTTTCGGTCGACTGATGATCTAATTATTTAATCACCAGAGAAGCTTAGATCCCACCTTGCAACACTCCTCCTCTCAAAGAAATCAATATTTCAGTGATCTGGTTCTCTTCTCTCCCTCCAGAGTGGGTTGTCTTCAAAATCATGGTCAGTTTTTCACATTGAAATGCCATGTTATCAGTTTTAAGCACAATTTTCCATTGAGCTCGATGCGGACCTTTTAAAACACATGACACCATGTGGGCTATATTTACTACTAGTACATCTTATAGAGTCGATCATTAAAAAACTGCGGAAACAGAACAAGAAAAAAAAAGTCCCTTTAATTTCCACATTAGTATTAAAAGCATCCACACCAGAGGTGTAGCTTATTAACACCAGAGGTGAGGACTACTCAGCTTCCCCTGTCTTTCTTTTCAAGGCTATTTGAAAATGTAGCTCAGTCAAACTAAAACATGGACCCTCTTTCATCTCCAAAACTGTTGTACAAATTAAGTTTTTGTGAGCTGTTGAAGTATAGGTATGTGAATGGATTGATTTGGCTGTTAGTAGACCGGTTAGTAGTAAACTAGATAGACAAGCTGGGTAGGGCCTCAAGTGAACAACATCAGGCTACTTCGGTGACCTGAATATTCGGCAGGAATTATTTTCTTCCTTCCGAATAATCACCCCCCCTCCCTTCTTGTCCCATTATTTATTGCCCCACTTTGCTGTGGGGAAGGGCAGTTAAAAGAAAAGGGGAGGAAACCCTCATTTTTAAGCATTTCTTCTCTGCTGTTCTATCATCTAAATAGATTGAAGTTAAAAAACAAACAAACAAACCAACCAACCAACATGAACATGAACATTCCTGCTTGCTTTTAAACCAGAAGGATACCAGAATTGTAGGCAAGGCCGATTTAGTTTCATGTCGAGACATATTTGTCCATTTCTAGGGTATCTAGCTAAAACTCCACATTCCTGTGTGTTCGTTTAACACATATCCTGGCTAAAAGACCCGTCTAGTTTCTTAATATAAATGCCACTTCCTAAGCACTGTAATATTTAATGTTTCCTTGTGCCCTAGGTTATTCGCTTGGCTGTCTAGCTTCCTCTGCATTGGAATCTCACACGATCTAACAGCCATTGTAGCGCACTGAATTACACATTATCTATCCTACATTTTCGCCCAGGTGCCCTCTGGTTTATAGATTCTAGCAGAGATCTCCTAAAGCTCGGATGGAAACGGACTCTCATTAGATGAACCCTAAACGAAGCTATACGGTTTAACAATGTAGTGTATTGGAGTCAGACCCCCCGTCGGCGTCTAGTGAACGTGTCAGCAAAGAGGAGAGAGCGGAGCTGGACCATCAGTGGAAACACCCACTCGAAAGAAGTGGTTTTTATGTCCCGCTTGCTTGGTGGGGAGAACGCCGCGGCGGGTGCGGGGAGGCGCTGGATGGGAAAGGCAGGCACGCTCCTGGGTGTGTGCATGCCTGGTTAGGTCCAGCGCTAGGTTTGCTCCTCTAGCTGGATCACAGGTCTTAACAGGACATTTGGTGGAGCGCCTTTGGGGCCCAGATCTGCTGTGGCTGCGGACTCAGCCCGAGCTGCGTCTCGCAAGCCTCGCTCCGCCAAGCCGCAGGGTCGGAGGCGGAGGCTAGCAGGCACCCAGGAATCCCTCTGGTCGCCTCTCTGCTCCTCCTTATGCTACGTTGAGTCGCCTGAGCGAATTGTGTGAGGAACGTTACATTTCCCCCCTACGCCATCCAACTCAACGCCTGTCGCTGACCCGAGGAAATAGAGCAATAATCCCCGGCCATCCGTATCTCTGTGTGCTACAGCCTTGTCAGCGTGTTTACAAATATGCCTTAAAAGCACTAAACGCCTTGGGAAAAAGAATGCTCGGTGTCTCTTAAATGAAAGCCACATGCAAGGTTGTTGCAGCCCGCAGTGCACTTTTATCCCAATAAATGTCCCTCTTAAAAGGCAGCTAGTAAACTGCAGGGAAGCCGGGGACAAGGAACAGCGCATCTGCCTGTAAAACCGGTTCCTAGCAGACATCAAGCCTGGACTCTCCACAGAGACGCTAGGGAAAACACTGTCAATGCACGGGATCTTTGCTAGAGAGGGACGCGCAGCCCTGTGCTTAAACTGAGGGCCCGCTTGGTGGCAAACTCCCGTAATAAACGCTTCCCCGGCTCTTGGCTGGCAAGGAGAGAGCTCTCTGAGTGCCGGGGGCCTGGGGCGGGGGGGTCTAAAGCTGGAAAGGCTGTTTCTGGTAATGTCACAGGTCTGAGCGTTCCTAACAAGCGCCGAGTGACTCCTGCACACCAGGAGGGGAGCTGCAGTCCGCAGAGAATCCGAAGTGAGACCGTCACTTTCACTTGCCCTTGATGCTTGGTGCCTTCTAGCTCTAGGGAAAACCCCCCATGCGATGGGGCTGAGCCCCACTCCAGCTTCTCAACCCATTTCCCGCCTAGAGCTGCACCTTGATTCAGAGGCTGCTGGTTACGATAGCACTGTCTGAATCTGTTACAGACAGGGCGGCGGGGTGGGGGTACCCACCACCACCCATTGTTATATTGCGTATTTACGGGTCAAATTCTGCCTCCCATTTACATCCGTGCCATTCTGCTGACTTCAAAGGGGTGGAAGGACGTAACTGGGGGGAGGGAGGGGAGAAATTGGCGCCACATACGTAACATTATTCTTCAGAGCTTGAAAGTGCAAAGCTGCCTTCAGCTGCAGAAATTTTTTTAAAGGGCTTCTAAAGATCTCAGGAGAGAAGGAGGCAAATCGCACAGCGCCGGGAGCGCTCTCGCTCTCTCTCTGAAAAAAGCATCTTTCTGCAGGGCAGCTTCCCTGAGTGCAGCAGTCAGCCCGCCCCGGTAGTAAGGGCAGCGCGCAGATGTGCCGCTGTGTTTCAAGAGATGAAGGATCTCCTGAACCTGCTGTGAAAGGGTGTTGCGTGTGATGAAGAGACGTTTCGTGGCCAGGGGTGGTGTGAAGGCGCTTGCCCTTGCAGCGAACGCGAGCTCGCCAGGGAAACGCTGCCCGAGATCACCCCCGGATTATCCGCAGCCAAGTAGCTCCCGGCCCTGAGGTTTCGGAACTTCTGAACTTTTTTGAGGGCTTTAGTGAACTTGGCTTCTTTCTCTTTCTTTCGCAACCTTTCCCCTTCCCGTCGGGATCAATTCGCTCTCTAGGAGCGGGCTCAGGAAGCTAAACTAAGATAGTCGACAGGAGTGAATTATGAGCAAACATCAAACACAAACAGATCCCCCATTTTAAAACAAAACCTACTGGGGGGGGGGGGGGAGAAAGAATTGGATGAGTCGGAAAAACTTCTCCACTGAACCAACCATCATTATTTGCGACAAACTGCCTGGAGCTACAGCCCGGGCGAGCTGTTCACATTGTCTCTCCAGTTTGCCCAGTCCCTATATTTATGGGCTCACGGCTCAATTAATGTCCCACTCTCCAGGGAATTCCCTTAGGTTTTCAGTTTGTTTAAACAAAGAGAGCGGACTAAAACACCAGTAAGGCTCAGGGATTTCCGTTGTAAATTTCAAATAAGACCACCCCCACCCTCTATTTCAGCGAGTGTTTTTCTAGCATTAGGATCAGGCAAGGTGTTTTGGCCTGGACAGTAGGGATCTACTTTACACCACTGATGTCTTCCAAACAACAAGCTGTTTTTAGTGCCTGTGTTGCAAACACGACATATATTTGTGGAAAAGAGAAATGATTCGCTTAGGTTGAGCGGCAGAAAGAAATCTCTTACTGCAGGGGTTGGCTTCTCTAAAGTACGGT